CTGGACTGAGTGTCTCTACAGTATCTCCAGCTCTGATGAGGGAGTGTTAGTGTGAAGTTACAGAGGAGTTGGACTGAGTGTCTACAGTATCTACAGCTCTGATGAGGGAGTGTTAGTGTAAAGTTACAGATGAACTGGACTGAGTGTTTCTACAGAATCTACAGCTCTGATGAGGGAGATTTCTCAGTTAACTGAATAACTTTTGTAAACGTTGACAAAAGTTTAGATTTTAGGTTTACTAAGCAGGAATGAACTGTATGAATAACTGTGTATGAATGAACCGGTTAAATAACTATAGCAACATACTGTGTTGTGTCCTGACCTGCGGCAGGTCCTTCCATTGTGCTCCAGCTACCGTGATGGTTGTCCATCGTGTCCGACGATGACGGTTGTACTCTGTGCAGCTCGTCTGGAGGATGAGCTGCATGAAGAAACCTGTGCGGAACAGCTTTTTGAAGTGGGAAATCTGTTGACTGGGACAGTCCCACTGTCACGACCACCAGCCAGTGGAGATCATCTCACAAAAGAACTCACCAGTACCAGCAGCGGGTTAATAATAACGAGCGCCGCCGCACGTGTTAATCCATCAGCATACGCTCTACCAGCACCATTTAAACCATCCTGTCCCTCTTCCCGCTCCTCGGCATTGAGTTTACTCCCAGAGAGCTCTACTTGGTGATTCCTAAACCTTGTGTCACTCTGGATTTTGGACTACCCCTTTTGCCATTTGACTTTGTACCTCGCCTCTCGATTCGGCTTGTTTGCCTCCGGTGTCTGTCCTGGATTTCAAACCACCTTACTCCCTTTGCCCACGATCTCGCCTCTCGATTCTGATTGTTTGTTGCCGTGACTACCAGCTACTCCTGCAGCTGCACAGGATCCATATCTACTCATTAGTGTATCCTTACACCCACTCTCTCGACCTCAGAAGCCTGGGTCCAGCGGTACAAGTAGTTGTCACGACTGGAGACTTCCTTGGTTCCAGTGGACTTCCAGTGGATTGCCATGACACTTTTCTGTGCCCTTCACTTTCCACAGAGCATTGCAACAGTGTAGTGTCCCATCACACCATACTGGGGCATCAGGACCCATACAGACTGCAGGGTGACCGCCCCCTGCTGGCCCCACTAACACCTCTTCTAGCAGCAGCCTCAGCTTTCCCAGGAGTCTCCCGTCCAGGTACTGGCCAGACTCACACCTGCTGACCTGCCATGGGCTGCCAGCTGGGAGCTGCAGGGTGACATGGCTGCTGGCCCCATCTACTGTAAATACAATCAAAAACAATCTTGTACAACTGCACCAAAGTTTAACAAGAAGTTCCACCTCAATGGTCACATTAATCTAATTTAGGGAATGACAATTATTATTAAATAATTATAATAATAATAATAAATTCCTTAGACTTACATAGGACTTAGCTCTTTACAGGTAATGGGGATCCCCTCCACCCCCACCAGTGTGCAGCCCCCCCTGGATGATGCTCCAGTCCCCTCACACACACCAGCTCTCAGTGGGGAGGAGAGCAGAGTGATGAAGCCAGTTCAGAGATAACCACTCACATAAGCTCTCACCATTTTAGTGGGTTTGGTAGTTTCAGGAGATATTTAATGGCATTATAATATTACGGTAGGCTTTCAGTGTATCTGTGATTCTTTGCCACGTGTCTCCTCTGGGTTTTGCGGGGCTGCTGTCCTGCTCCGTACCACGAGAACAGGTCTTTCTTCGGAACAGTGCTCCAAGCAGACCTGTAGCCTGTGACACCTGAAACACCACACTGGTGCCTATGTGGGGGAAGGGTTTCAGGCTTGACCCTCTCAGACCTGCTTTAGTCAGATAACTAAAACCAGTTTGGCTGAAGCCAGAGTTACCCTGAACTCAGTTATGGGGTAAGTTATATCTGGGTACTGTAACTTGAGAAAAGCTGGAATTAGTTAAACCTGCTTTGTGAAGCTGCCCTGCCTCTCCTCCACTAGCACTCTGACTGACAGACAGAACGTTTAATCCTCTGGTTTGTTTTAATCAGGAAGACACAGACACAGAAACAGCAATCCCGCAGGAAAGTGAGTTCTGTATTCTGACATTCCACAGAAATAATCATTAACTGGAGCAGCTTTTTCCAAACAGAACTATAGACACAGAGGACATGAACTGGGTCATCAGCAGCAGCTTTGTTGTAGAGAGGGACCCCTCACCCTCTCTGCTCTGACAGGGGGACCCCTCACTCTCTCTGCTCTAACAGGGAGACCCCTCACTCTCTCTGCTCTGACAGGGCACCCCTGACTCTCTCTGCTCTGACAGGGGGACCCCTCACCCTCTCTGCTCTGACAAGGGGGTCCCTCACACTTTCTACTCTAACAGGTAGACCCCTCACTCTCTCTGCTCTGACAGGGGACCCCTAACTCTCTCTGCTCTGACTGGGGGACCCCTCACTCTCTCTGCTCTGACAGGGGACCCCTCACTCTCTCTGCTCTGAATAGGGGGACCCCTCACTCTCTTTGCTCTGACAGGGGGACCCCTCTCCCTCTCTGTTCTGAAGGTGACCCCTCATTCTGGTGTCCCCTCTCAGGAACAGAGCACAAAGAAGCCCAGTGACTCACTCAGGGGACACATGAAGAGTCAGGAGTCAGTAAGAGGACACAAACCTGGAACCTTCCTGGCCACAAACAACCTGAACCCCTGGAGCGCTGGGTGTCCTGCCTGTCTTTCCCCTTCCTCTTCCTGTGACAGTATTTCCATACAGAAGGATGCTCAGAAACAGCTTTCCTCAGATTTCTCTGAAGTATGCTTACTTGTTTACATTTTACTTTCCCACATGTGAACTGCTCGACCTTTAACCCCCATCTGACCCGCCCCGTCCCAGAGCGTCACACCGCCGTCCGACCCGCCCCGACCCATTGCGTCACACCGCCGTCCGACCCGCCCCGACCCAGAGGACCGACCCATTGCGTCACACCGCCGTCCGACCTGCCCCGACCCAGAGGACCAACCTGCGTCACACCGCCGTCTGACCCGTCCAGAGTAACATCGGACACCTGGGTCTGATCCAGCACCGGGATCCTACCTCTGCCCCTCAGTGAGTACAGACACCTGCACCACACACTGGTGACACCCAACCATGGATCACACCCCACATTAATGCACACACA